TTTCCATTATTCTTTCCTTTTTTTTCTTGTTTTGTTTTGTTCTTCACTTTCAATGTTTTTTTCAGAAACTTTTTTTATCGCTTTTTTTTTCTGTAGTTTATTTGATTTTTTTAATAGAGTCTATTCTTTTTCGTGCACATACAATTGCAAGTAAAATCATGATTTGTGTTCGGAAAATTCTCAATTTTGGAAGCAAAGTCGAAATTTGCAGGGCTTTGTGCATGAGTTGATCGGGACCATCATCATGAATGGATCGAATTTGTGTTCGCGTGACCAAGAAGACCACCACCTTCACCGGCACCGGCACCGGCACCTCCGCTCCCACCCCCGGTGTGCCTGTCTATGTGTATGTGTGTTGGACAAAGTCGATGGTGTGACCATTCGAGAGGACAAAGCAGTTGCATAAAGTCAATTGTCCTTTTGTTTAATATCATCGAAACTCGTCAATTTGTCAAAGCGGTGATTTTGAAACTGGCTCAGGGTTGAATTTGGTTTCTCGATAGTGATAGATTGGCAGTTTTTGGGTTGATTGTTGAATGGATTTCATTTTGGTTTGATATGTGATTTTTGAGTGTATCGTTTTTATGTTTTTTTATGTTCATGATGTTACATAGTCCGGTTTTTAGTTTTCTTCTAAACCAGTTCAAATTTTATTGTTGTTTTTAAAGTAATTATTATTTTTCTGTGGTTGTCTACAGACAAGCTCTTTGTTGCTGCTATGCATTTTTCTAAAACATTAGCAATCAACAAATTCCTTATCTTTTGCATTTTTTATTGAAAGAAGACCATGATTCGATCGATTGTTGTAAAAATTTATGCATTGAGATGTTTTAGACGTTCGTGAAAAGCACTATTACTTTGATTGTTTAACTATATAAAAACCAACGAAGAAGTGAACAATGATAACTTCATAGAAACTCAAAATAACACAACAAATAATTATATTTATGTGTAATTGTTTGTGTGTTTTTGGGTGTTCATACCGGAAAGATAATCATGTTTTGTTTTGTTCATTATTAAACAAACAGAGATTATTACTATTATTGTTTTTTTTTTTACTTTGCAGCAACCAAGAACAATGATATCCCTCCTTCTTCTTCATTACAATGAGCATTGGATTAATAAAGTAACTATAAAACATCAGTGTAACATTTCTCAACCAATCTGAAAACAACTTTCACTTATAATAAAATATTTCGAATTAAGTTTTACAATGATTATATGGGATAGTCAATGAAACAACAACAAAGAAACAACACTACAATAATCAAACAACATGAAAACAACTTAACAACTAAAAAAAAAACGAAAAGTGTCGCAGGTCGTCTATGTTTTTTTTTTTCTCTTTGCTCCCATCAATTTCCCAACTAAAAATAAAATAATTTTTGCAGTTCTAGAAAATTGTCGAACATACATTCGAAATACCACGTTAGGCTATCTGAAACGCGTGAGTTTACTTCACCACCATATTAACAACCCTAATAATCCACATCTTTATAGTATTATTATTTTTTTGTTATCAGGATGTATTTTTTTTTTCAAATTTGATTTTACATTCCTGTGAATATGCGAACTTGAAACTCGGAACTATCAAACTTTCTTCTTTTTTTTTCCGTTTTGATTTCAATTTCTTTTTTTTTTTTTGTGTGTTTTTCCTTTATGGATGAATCGAGAAATTTTTCTGAATGTGTTTGTATTTTTTGGTTTGTTATTGTTTATGATTGTTAACTGTCATCAATTATTTTTCAAATGAAAAACTGTAGCAATACGGTTTTATTGCTGAATCGATTCAATTTTTTTTTGCTTTTCAAGTTTTTTTTTTTTATTTTTATTTTCTTTAGTTTCATGTTTACCTAAATTCGACCAATTTTGAGGTATATTTGATATTGTGTATGACTGAGAACCACTGTGAAATATTATTATTAAATAGAGGCAGTTATAAAATTTTCCCAAAGGTAAATGGACGTAGCCAATTATTTAAGAATCTGGCCCAATGGTGCAATTTCATATATCTAGAATTTTTTATTTTTTATTTTACTTTTATAAATCAAAAGGCACAAATGTGCGAATACACAACAGCCAACGACTGAATACACAACCGTCAACAACTGAAAAAAGAGAGAGAACAGGTCAAAAGACTACCTAGAATTCCGGCTAGCAAAGCTAGAATAAAAACAAACGCGACTAAACTAACCAACAACACAAACAATCAAAACAACTACAAGGCCCCAACAGGGTGATCACGTTATTCATTTGCAAATTTCTATTTA